GCTGAATACAGAAATTAAGGAGCTCAAAGTCAAGTGGAGCACTCTCAACTCCTTCTCGAGGGCAGAGTTTTGTCGTGAAGTGACTTCTAATGATGCCGATGGCGATCCACTCACAAAAAGTGCTCATAAACTGCCAAACACACACACACACACCTATACACACACATACATCTCTCTGATGATTCGCAAAAATAAGAAAGAAAAGAAGGGAATTGTATACAAATTAATGAAATGCATTACGGGAACTAGATGGGAATTGCGAGCTGGGACTTGTGCCTGGGTCGCCCAAGTACCTGCGCTCGTTAGCGCTTCACTCACACACACAAACACACGCACACTGACATTCAGGCAAAGAGAGTGTGAAGAGTGAAGAAGCGTGGCAAGAGCGAGCCTCAACCCTCTCCAAAACACAAGCACACAAACGCAAACATACACACACACACATGCACAATTTGCCAAGCACTCGCCGTTCCCATCATTATCATAATTTGAATAAGTTCTGAGCGAGTTTTTAAAATATTCATGCGAGCTGAAAGATTTTCAAGTGTTCGCACGTGTGTGTGTGTGCATTATGTGAAGCTTTGCATATGCGAGCGTGTGTGTGTTTGCTTTGTGGAGAGAGAGAGAAAGGTAGAGGAGCATTTGCTGATGATTATGACTGTATTTGTGCCCTAATGGCAGCCCCGACCAACTGCTTAATGGATAAAGCCTACATTTACAATGCATATCGAAAACAATTGAATCGAAATGCGTTAAACAATATATTTGAGTTGTTAATAAGTGTACAAGCCTGTAGGCAAATTGATGAGTATGTCATAAATTAAATAATGGATAACGGAGCTTGATTAGAATAAAGGGTATTATTAAGCTTTGTAGTTTAAATTTAACTGCTGCTTCAGGCCATTCTATTAGCTTCAGAAATATTTATATTAAATATATGTCAAGCGTGTTTTTTTATAAATTTGATTTTAAATCAATTTCATTCAAGATAAAGCTAATTGAATTATTTTTTTATATAATGCAAGGCAGTAATTTATTAGTTTTTTATTCAATTAAAAAAATTACAAAATTAATTTAATTTTATATATAAAAAATTTAATACGTACTTATATAAGATATAAGAACTAAGCATAAAAATTAGTTGTTATTGGCTTAGATGTTGGAATTAATTCAATAAATATTACCTATTTTACTTTCCAAAATATCTGAAAATTCAAATTCAGCAAGTTAATATAATAATATTAATAAATTAATATTAATAATATAACCTGCTTATTTAAATCAAATATAATCCCTTTCTGCATAACATATTTCGTAATACCATAATAGCTTCCACTTCTGAAAAGCAACAAATGAAAAAGCTTTGTGACATCCTGTTAATCACGAACTATTTGAGGCATTTGGCATTAGTTTGTTAGGCAATGGCAAAGCGCTGCCCATTGCCTGCATTCAAAGCGAATGTCAGGCAAAGCGCTCAAACGAATTCGCATTCAACTCACAAACACACACTCACACTCACAGAGCCGCTCTCACGCTCCCACTCACACTCACAAACATAGTCGTACACGTGGCTGCATGTCAAAGTGTAAAGTTTTGTGGCGCAAAAAAGTGGCCGAAGCTCGCGAAAAAAAAAACTACACTATGTAGTGGGTGCCAGAAAGAGAAAGAGGGAGAAGCAGAGGCCGTGGGAGAGCGACGTCAAGAGGCAAAAAGCTGAGCGGCAGTCAAAAGCCCCGCTTGTCGATTTTCAAAGTTTCGTTTTGAATGTTGTTGCTGCTGCCTTCGTTGTTGCTGTTGTTGCAGTTGTTGGCAACCCTTTTAGCTGGAGCAGTTTTTACCTGTCTGCCCCTCTCTCTCTCTCTGCCTCTGCACTTTCCATCTGGACTTATGTCGAGGGGAGTATAGTACAAAAAAAGAGCCATTTGAGTGCAGCTAGCAAAATGTTCCTTTGCTGCTCATGTTGTTGGGTGTTGAGAGTGCGTTTGGCTGTGAGCGAATGCATAAAGAAAGCACGAAATGTTGTAGTTGTGTGCGAGCATAAAAGGAGAACACAGAGTGCAATTGGCAGGGTAAGCAAAAGTTTACAGCTGCAAGGAATGTAATAGCCCCATGCAACAGCAAAATCATTTCGGCTCAACTGCAGCTGCAGCAAATCTGGGGAATCATCAATGTCAAGATGCCAAAAGGCAGAGCGCT